GAGAAGTGCGGGAAAATATTTTCACCCAGAGGGTTGTCGGTGCCTGGAACACACTGGCAGTGAGGTGGTGGAAGCAGACACATCAGCAATGTTTAAGGTGTATCTTGATAGACACATGAACAGGAGGCAAACAGAGGGATAGAAACCATGTATGGGCAGTAAATAGCTGGTCTAAATAAGGATGAGAATCGGCACAGACTTGGTGGGCCGAAGGGCCTGTTCCTATGCTGTATTGTATTCTATTCTATTGTAAGAGAGTTAGTATTCTGAATGACTAATATTTCCAAGTATTCACACATGAAAATATGAGCAATATCCCTCACAGGGAGATACCAAAACAAAATCAATTAATTTGATTGGAAATTGAGAGATAAAAGTCCTTGATTGATTAAAAGGATTTAAAACAAAAATTCCCAGGAATGGTCCTGTGGGAGTAATGGTTAATCATTTCTACAATTATAGCCTAATAAATAGCAGATAATACAGATTCAGAAGGTAAATATCTTGCCCGGCTGACCTCATTTTTTGAGAAAGTCACGTCCCAAATAAGTGGTGGTGAGACATATGTCATGATTACAAGGAAGTGTAGTGGTAATGTCACAGTTATTTGTAATCCTGTAAACCCAGACTAATATTCTAAGGCTGTGAGTTTGAATCTCCCAATGGTGATATTTGAACATAATAAAATTCTGGAGTTTACAAAAGATGATGGACATGTAACCACTCTAGATTTTTGTAAAAACCCCCATTGGTTTATGTCCTTTAGGGAAGGAAATCTTCCATCTTTTCCCAGTGTGGCCTACAGATGATTACAGACCCGTAGCAATGTGGGTGACCTTTAACTGCCCTCTGGATATATGATTAGTGATGGGCAACACAGACTGATCCATATCTCATGCATTAATTTTTTCAAATGATATCTATATTGCTGAGAAAATACATTGATTAAAGCTTTTCTGAAATACTCATCAGGGTAATTTGCAAGAATACCAATTTAAGTGGAAAATTAACATTTATATTGTATGAGTGTGCTGATGGAATTTGAGTAGTCGAGGCTTTACCATGGAAAAAGCGCCAGTTTTTAATCTTTGTTTAGATTTTAAACCAAGCAAGTTGACTGATTGGTCATGACATTACACTGAAAAATGAACCAGTGATTGTCTCTTACTTAATTTGTTACGTCGAGAGAGTCGCAGAGCATATGCATGATTTTTCTATCTACAAAGAACATGATTTCATGTGCTGTTTCATACTGCTGCTACGAAGTAACAACATCAGTTGTGTTTACCAATACAGCTGTTGCTATCAAGCCAAAAAGAGTTATGCCTTTTATAAAAATGAGTAATGTGATATATGAATTTCAGTGACAGTGTGATGCCTGGTAGGCCACACATATGTCAAACAGCGCATTCCTTCAACTGACAGAACATGTAAAATACAAACTCTATTCTACCAGTATGTGCTTGCAAAACTCACAACAGAGTGGCCAACAGTGGTTAGCACTGCTGTCTCACAGGGACCAGGGCTCGATTCCAGCCTTGGGTGACGGTCTGTATGGAGTTTATATGTTCTCCCTGTGTCTGCGTGGGTTTCCACCGGGTGCTCCGGTTTCCTCCCACAGTCCAAAGATGTGCAGATTAGGTGGATTGGCCACGCTAAATTGCTCATAGTGCCCAGGGATGAGTGGGTTAGGTGGATTTAACATGGTAAATGCAGGGTTACAGGAACAGGGTCAGGAGTTGGGTGTGGGTAGGATGCTTTTGGAGGGTCGATACAGAATTGATGGACCGAACGGCTTCTTTCTGCACTGTAGGGATTCTGTGATTCTGCAATTGAACAACATTTGCTGGATAACTATGAGTGTGCAAAGAATGACACTGACCACTGACAACCAATTTAGGATCATCAGTTAGACATGGTATGTGGTGTAAGTGCACGTACTGGAAGCCTCATTTTATTTTCAGCAACGCTGATATACTCAAGTTCCCTACTGCCAAACGGTTAAATATACCTATACAACCAAAGCTATTTGACAATGTTTCACATTGAAGGTTATTAATAAAATTCAATCCTTTGGAGATTCAGTGTGAAATCCTCAGAAGGTGCTGCACAAAAGGTGAATGCACCAGATTCTTGCTCATGGTGTTTGGGGTAATATTTTAAGTTGGATGGAGGATTGATTAATGGGCAAGAGAAAAGATCAGGACCAACAACGCATTTTCATGTTGGCAATCTGTGACTACTGGAGCGCCACAATTATCAGAAGTGGGGTGTCAGTTATTTACAATCTACATAAAATTATTAATTAGAAAGCCAGATGTACCTAAGTTTGTTGAAGATACAAAGTCAGGTGGAAATAAAGATAAAGTTGCCATAGCAGTCCTGGACCATGGGGCTGCTTTCTCATGAGACAGGCAACTGGTGGTAGTTTAACATGAGGGTCACCACACTGCTGATAAAGGGAGAGGTTGAGAAGGAGAGTCTGTCATGGTGACTTCAGCTGGTATGGGAATTGAACGCACACTGGCATCGTTCTGCAACAGAAACCAGCCATCTTGGCAAACTGAGCTAACCAACCTCATGTGGAAATGTAAGCTGTGAGAAGAACACAAAGCGGCTGCAAAGAGATATGCAGAAGTTAATTGAGCAGGCAAGAAGGTGGCAGAAAGATTACATTATGAGGCAGTGTGAGGTTAGTAGTTATTTTGATAGAATCACAGAGTCATACAACATGGAAACAGATCCTTCGGTCCAAACAATCTGTGTCAACCATAATCCCAAACTAAAATAGTCCCACCTGCCTGCACTTGGCCCATATCCCTCCAAACATTTCTTATTCATGTACTTATCCAAATGTCTTTTAAATGTTGTAACTGTACCCACATCCAACACTTCCTTTGGAAGTTTATTGCACACACGAACCACTCTCTGTGTAAATTGCCCCTCATGTCTTTTCAAAATCTTTCTCCTCTCACCTTAAAAATATGCCCCGGTCCCGAAATCCCCCACCCCAAGGAAAATACACCTGCCATACACCTTATCTATAACCCTCATTATTTTATTAACCTCTATAAGGTCATCTCTCAACCTCCTGCGCTCCAGTGAAATAAGTCCCAGCCTATTCCGCCTCTGCTTATAACTCAAACCCTCCATTCCCGGCAACATCCCGGTAAATCTTTTAATTAGTAAGATAGAAAGGAAGTAGTGAGGATAGAAAAAGAGTAAATCTTTATGTTCAGAGAGGCCTAGCTGCACAGGAAATACAGAAAGTTAGCATGCATGTACAGCAAACAGTCAAGAAGTAAAATGACATGTAGATCTCTGGAACAAAAGCAAAGTTGCTGGAAAAGCTCAGCAGGTCTGGCAGCATCTATGAAGGAAAAATGTAGATCTCTATTGGCTAGGGTTGTCAAATATTCTGTGCTAATGTGATACCCTGGCTACATACATACGCACACAAGCCGCTCAAATCAATAGAATGTAAATATGTCTGAAAACATACTTATATTTAAGGACCATGAGGAACTGGAATATGGAACCGTTTTGACATTTGGTATTAAAGAGCATTTACTGAGGTTCCAAAGGACATGTAATTTCTTGGATAGAAATAGAAATTAAGCAGAAATTCAGCAGGTCTGGCAGCATCTGTGGAGAAAAATCAGAGTTAATGCTTCAGGTGTGGTGACCCTTTTTCAGAACACAGAACTGATCTGAGGAAGGGTCACTGGTCCCGAAGCATTAACTCTGATTTCTCTCCACGGATGCTGCCAGACCTGCTGAGTTTTTCCAGCAATTTCTATTTTTGTCTCTTAGATGTGGTCTTGATACAGCCACATCCCCTACAGTGCTCAAGTCCTCACTTAAGCGATTAACTTCACATGTACTTTAGTGACAGTTATATAGGAACAGTGCACTGGTTTGTAATTCTAACATGTTTAATTCAATATTGGTTCTTTTAATATCTTGTCACTTCACTGTTAACTGCTGAATTCCTCTACTTTTGTTATGACACAATGGTCACATCTCTATGTTTGTAACCTGGTTATTTGATCTAATATTTGCATCAGACTACAATTCAGCAATTCATACTTTGGAGGTGTTTTCTCTAATACTGACCCCCAGATTCAGGTAAAACAAGGACCTACGCCAGAAGGTAAACAATCTTCCGCACTTTTGCCAAACTGGATTTGTCCAACAATTAAAGTTGAATAAACTTGAATATGTTTCTTGAATAAAATACCAGTATTACAGAAACAACTGAAAACGGCAAAAATATATGAATCCCTGTTTTTTTTCCATCCAACATCAACGTTTTGTGCAAAATCCCGTTAATTGTTGGGACTTGACCTCTTTATACAAAATTTATCTGAAGGTCAAGCGTCAGTAGCTTTCAGGAGAGCTTGTCTGACTTTATTAAGACTTAAAACAAAAGTCTTTCAGTATTAGTCTAATCAATTTTGCAATCCTATAAACACCTCTTGGGCACTTATTTCGAAGTTGAGTTTAGGATATCTGGTCGGCATGGACGGGTTGGACCGAAGGGTCGGTTTCCGTGTTGTACAACATCACTATTACTCTACCCAACTCCCCTTGATTTTGATGTAAAAATGTGACTATAAATAAACATTCGACCTTTGCACTTTTACCTCGTTTGTGTGGTATAGGGCCCATCTTCCTGCTCTGGCAAATCAGAACACAAGAAATGGGCAAAAAAAGAACAACACTCAAAAGTCTTTTGTGAAATATTTTCTAATCAACAGAAGTCTTTCATTGCGAGAACCCTGAACCAAATCTATTGCAGTCAGCGGTGAGAACTCATTCACCAATAATGGGAAGGCGTACATTCAGTAAATCAACCATTTACCGTCCCATCAGCGAGCAGCTATATCGACAGATATGAATTTACCATGCAGTTATTTAACAAGGTAATTGGGTTAGGAGGCACACAACCACCAACCAGTTGTTCCAGAGAGCAGAGGGAACGCATTTAAAAGCACGTCTGTGCGTCATTCTGGCGTGTCCGTCTATCCTTAGTTCGCTGGAGGGATTTAGAGGGAGAAAAAAAAAAAAAAAATATCCTGGTTCTACCCGTTGGTATTGGGGAACCAAGCAGTAGCTTGGCGCTGATAGTGGAACGCTGAAATGATCCCTCTCCGTGCGGTTTTGCCGCTGCTGCTTGCAGTGTGTGTGTATCAGTGCAGACATATACATGGTAAGTACTGTGACTCCATTATCTTAACACTGAGCTAGTGGCTGGGGTAAAGAAGCAGGTGGCAGGGCAAGATCCAGAGACAGGGGCGGGGGGAGAAGGAAGACATAGTTTTTAAAAAACGTGACCACAAGCTGAGCTGGTTTTATTTGCTCCTTTTTCAGTCATGGAGCTGTAATATTGAGTACTATCTGAATCGTGGCGGGTTACAATTTTTAAATGGAGATTCTTATTGTTGTAACAACCTCCTTCGCGAGCTTGTATACACTCCCTGTGCCATTCGCTCGTTCTTGGCTTAGTTGACTAATAATTGAAAAGCCACACTGTCGAGTAGGAAATGGCTTGGGAATTGTCAGACCTACATATACCTAAAATGGAACACTATATTAAAAGGGCAACAGTAGCATTTAAGGATGTGATCCTTGACTAGAAATGCTTTGTATTAAAAGCAAATAAAAATACTCCTATGGACTAAGGGAGAAGCGAACAATTATATTAAAGGTACTGTACTTCTAGGATACCCCATTCAGCCCCCTCCAAATGGGGGGGGGGGGGGGGGGGAAGAAATATTAGGTCCCACCAGCTAACTTTTTTTTTACTTTTAAAAGTAAATCTACATAGACTCCTGCTTAAGAGAACCTATTGGGTTTTAAAGCTGCAGACCTTGAAGCGTCTGCCTGCCTCATAACTTGGCGAATGTGATGCAAGCCTTGGCTAGAGTTACATTTACTGAATGGGTTAGGTTCTCAAACCAAACGTAGCTATAAACTTTCACTAGTCGGCATACTTTAAACCACAAATCGGGAGAGCATCACTGGATAGAGTACGCTGCCAAGGATCAAATGGCTAATCATTCCAGCTTTATTAGTACCTGGACTAAACTTGAGTCATGTCAACTTGCAGCAAGTTTAACTTGAAACTGAACCATCAGCCACTTCCATAGTGGTTACACTCTGGCTGTTCACCCTGAATTGCAGGCTTATCTCCTGTTTGACCTTGGCTTGGCTTTTAATAAGTCGAGTGTGTTTACTTAGAGTATTCGCGTAGCCCTATTCGGGACTGCTCCAAGTGGAGCAGGAGGTGACACGCCCCCCATGCCTAAGACGGTAAATTCGCTGCTTTCAGCCACCTTTCTCCCCCGGCACGGTCACAGCACTCATTGCTGAATGTGATCTAGAATGCCGTAGACAGCTTCTTAATCCGGCAGCTCCCTTACTCTTTCCCACCTTCTCTCCCCCCCCCCCGCCTCAGCCAAAACGACTTTGTTCACGAGAACAGGTTGTTTTGAACTGTTTAAACAAACGCTTTCTTAAAACCTTGGCTGTAGTTTGGCAGTGTGAAGCAGATCTTTCCTAAGAGTCGCAGACTAAATGACCTTGAACTGGCAACATGTTGCTTGTTTTGGTGAGGAGGAGCTCTACGTAACTATTTTTATATATACCTACACGTGGGTGTGTAGGTAAACGATAGCTTGTTTCTTTTTTCCCCTCTCTTTGTAATGCTGGTTACAAGGTGGGTTCCTCCAACATTAAATAACGAAGGAGAAACGTTGGCGTGCCGGGTCTAAGCAAAGGGGCTAGAAATCCGAGACCAGGATTTCGCGGCAAGTGGTTTGAAGACCAGCCTCAACCTGACTAATGCATAACCCATACAAGAGCTACCAGTTCAGAGTTCTGCCATTCACCCCCGTTCTAGTATGGGGAAACGTCCCTCAGTAAATTTAAATATCTGGAAAATTTCCTGAAGGGTCCAGACCCGAAACGTAAGCTTTCCTGCTTGGCCTGATGTGTTCACCCAGCTCTTAACATTGTTATCTTTAAATATCTGGAGTTTGTTTCAGCTTGCTAGTTATGCCTTTCTTCCCTCAAGTGACCTAAACTAAACCTTGCAAGTTGGTTTATAATAACTATATACAGAACCAACCAATTACTACTGCTCCAATGACAGGTGGTGCACTCACACCTGACCATGAAACAATTACTCAGTTAAGCTAGCAATACTTTATTAGATTAAAATAGCAAAATTGTGCTTAAAATTATCTAAAGCTAAGGTGCAAAAGATAAACTGCAACTTCTTTCCCCGGAGGCTCTCGAGTATCTTGTGAGGCATCACAATTCCAATGCCGAAATGGTCGCTGTATTCCCTCTGTATGGAAATGTGATGGAGATGAAGACTGCTCAGATGGAAGTGATGAAGCTGCCTGTGGTAAGAAGCTGAAATAGTCAATTGTCAGACTTTGAAACTGACATTGACTTCTACCTTCTATTATAGAAAGCATCAAGGGGACATGCCATAGATTTTAGCATGGATAGCTGAAGTTGCTATTGAGACTTGGGATTAAAATGCCAAAACATACAATTTTTTAAGCATACTCCTAATTAGAGTCTAACCTTGACTTGAGGTGTCTAGCTTGTCAATTGTTAGACACTGTCACTTTCAAGATTGCATCTCTCCATGGTGGAGATGCTATTAAAAATAGATTTTCTTCCATGCCCCTTTTCTTTTCTCGTCTAGAGTGAATGCTAGTGGTGATGTAATCACTTACTCTTCATATCCTAAGGTCAAGTATGACAGCAAACTTGAGCAAAAGTACAAACTAACTTCAGTGAAACTGACTGCTGGAGTCAAATTGTCAGCTGAGCTTTATGCTGTAAAGGAGTTTCAGTGGTGAAACTCACCACTCTAGGTGTAAACAACATCCTTTATCTGTCCTACATTACACACCTAAAGAAAGTAAACATCTTAACTTTTTTCATTATTTTTATACTGGCCTTAATTAGCTAACAAAGGCATTCATCCTCTGACTGGAGGACCAGCTCCTCATTAGTTACCTGGCTAATCCTGAGATTTTCAAGACTAATTGAAACCAATGCCCCATCTACACTGACATAGCAATGATCTGGCAAAGCTTTGCAATAGCTGTTTGCCTCATCACTTTTTCTCTTTCAATTGTGCTATCTATCCCTTGAACATTTAAATTCCTTTCAGTTAAAAAACTGATGTTGTGATAATGCCTTGACTAAGCCCTAGCAATCTCACTACACATCACCTTCCTCATTGACAAGCTTTTGTGTATCTGTTCCTTGATCCCCTTACCACTTCAGTTTCCATTACACTGACTAACTGCCTTGCTCAACACAATTGACACCTAACTTTGCAACTTGTTTCTGTACTCATGCAACATTTAAATGTTGCAAGTAGTTTAACTCCTGCAGGAAAACCTAGCACATGAGGCTAGATACTCCTTGAAGCATTAAGTAGGCCATGATTTTCTTGCCTCTCCAGGTGTGTAGAGGTTACAAATGGTGGTACCTGCTACATGATTTCTGAATGTGAATAATAGCTTGTCCCACTTTGTACAAAGGAATCATTATTGAAGACAATGGAACACAGCCTATAATTAGATTTAAACTCTGTTTTTTTTAAAAAAAACACCTCTTCTACAAATGACTAGGTTGGTTAACACTTTGTTTTTGAAATCTGAATATTCTAGGTTTTCCTCTAATCTTAGTGACAATACACTTGTATCTTCTGGCTTTGGTCAACTTGTAACCCTGAATTTTAAGTTTAAAATGGCAGTTATGAACAACTGGACCATATTGACTTGATCAATGATAAATCTGAAAAGCAGGTCTCAGTCTTAATTTTTCAATCTGGGTAAATGAAGTAGTTTAAGTTTTGAAGCTAATATTTGTGTGCAAATGGCTTTTTTTAGCCAAGAAGACCTGTGGTGCTTCTGACTTTGTGTGCCATGATGGACACTGTGTACCCAGTAGGTGGCAATGTGATGGCGATGCAGATTGTGAAGATGGCTCAGACGAAAGTCCAGAAGTCTGTCGTGAGTATTTAATGCTGGACACAAATTTATCCTAGCTGAGTATCTTTACTAATGCAGTATTAACAAACTGTCCTTGTCCAAAAGATTCCATACAATAGTCTTGCTGACTACAGCACAGGCATCAGCTGTCTCCTGCATAAGTAGGTTTGCCTTCCTGATAACATGGAGGTATGGCTAGAACTCCAACATGAAAATGTGAGTTTGGGGTTTTCATCACTGACATGGTACAGTCCTGAACTTGGGTCAGCTGGCAAAATATCAGCATGGGTTAATGACCTCTGCAGATACTGTTGCTTGTCCATCCAAATCAATCCATGACATAAGGCAAATGTCAATCCTAGGCTGAATAACAGCCCTGAAGAGAACTTAGGAATTGAATCAATTCCTTGTTTTGCCCACTTCAGTTCTTAATTTACTGGCATGCCAGTAACTAAATCTCTCTGAGCAATTGGCTAGAATATATATTGAATGCAACCAAACTAAGAATCCCTGCCATGAGAACTTACTGCTTTAGGTTACATGTTAAACAGCACATTTTTGACTCATTGCAGGAGTCAAATTCCCAACCTCCTTCTGCCTAAATGCTAGACAACTAATTCTCAAACACTTTCATTCCAGACATGAGAACGTGTCGTGTCAATGAAGTCAGCTGCAGTCCTGGATCTACACAGTGCATCCCTATACCCTGGAGATGTGATGGTGAAAGAGACTGTGATGATGGTGGAGATGAAGCAAATTGTGGTGGGTTGTTTAGACTAAAGTCTTGAACTACCTCCTACTAAACATCTGTTTAAATATCATGATGGGATGGTATACATGCCAATAGGGTCAAATTTTAGACTAATGCAAGGTAGTGATTATCCTTATCTATAATTCAAGATGCTTGACCTGCCAATTTTTTGCATTGGCAATGCACTTTATCTCCTATTGGAGCACTCCTATTGCTTTGCTTCATATTGTAAGCATACTTTAAGTTAAAGACAGGAGGCTTGGAAGGGATTTGAGAAACCCACCAGAAGGTGGTGGAAGTCAAGAATGCACAAGCTGGGAGGGTAGCAAGGCACAATCTTGTGTAGAGGCAAGGCTATCCTTGCCCAGGAAAATGGGGTTAGTTTATACTGTCTTCTGTAGTACAGACCAGATGGGCTGAAGGATTTTGGTCAACTGAACTATTAGTTTCCAACCTCCACTACAGATAGACTTGTACATATGTTTGCAAAACTGTTTACCCACTTTCACTTTACTGAAATCTAGATTTAAAAAGCCATGATGCTAGTTTTCTAGTCAAGTACTTGTTCAAATCTAACTTCAGGGTGTTGACTTGCCCACATTGCTGATTTGACTCTCTAACTAATAAAACACAATTGGCTGTAGATCTCATTAAGAGTCCCACTAACTTTCTAATCTTTTCATTTTAGCAATTGTTGCATCTAACATACCATGAAAGTCTATTGCTGAAATTCAACTTGAACATGTCTGTTCTGCCACTCTAGTGGGTTATATTGTGGCTGGTTAATTTAGCAGCTTCAGTTTGAGTACCAAATTGCTTTGAACAACTAACTTCAAACATTTTACCCTCTAGGTGCCCTCACTTGCAGTACACAAGAATTTACATGTGCCAGTGGCAGATGTGTTTCTAAGACCTTTGTCTGCAATGGTGAAGATGACTGTGGTGATGGAAGTGATGAGAAAGGCTGTGCACCACCAACCTGTGGCCCACATGAATTTCAGTGCAATAGTTCAGAATGTATCCCATTGCAGTGGGTATGTGATAGTGATGTTGACTGTGCTGATCACTCTGATGAATCCCCAGAACACTGTGGCCGCACACTCCCTCCCCCTGTAAAATGCTCTGCTGGTGAAATCCAGTGTGATTCAGGTGAATGCATCCACCGTAGATGGTACTGTGATGGTGATGCTGACTGCAGAGATGGAAGTGATGAAGTAAATTGCCGTAAGTAACTCTTTCTATTGTGTCAATGTCACTTCTGACTTAACAAACATGAATTATAGGGTATTGTTATATGGATGGAACTAGAAATAGTTCAAATGCTACAACATTCACCAATTATGGCTTTAAAGATTTAATGAAATGTTATTGGGGTCTTGAAGTTGACTAAAGGTCTGGACATCAGGTTTCTTGGTCTGACCTAAAATGTCACACATGACATCCCAATGCCTGATTCCAGCCTCCAGACCAGGTATATGGTCCTCCTGACATGTCTGCCTTGGGCAAATTCTGCCTGAACATAAGAACTAGGAGTAGGCTGTCTGGCCCTTCAAGCCTGCTCTGCCATTCAATAAGATCATGGCTGATCCTTTTGTGAACTCAGATCCACTTACCTGCATTCTCACCATAGCCCTTAATTCCTTTATTGTTCAAAAAAATTTGCTTTTTTTTTAAAGAAAAGCACTTTAGTGTCAACTAATTTACTACTGGGCAAGGAATTCCGTAGATTAACACAACCCTCTGGGTGAAGAAATTCCTTCTCAGTTCAGTCCTAAATCTGCTCCCTCTAATCTTTATGCTATGCCCTCTTGTCCTAGCTTCACCTGCCAGTGGAAACATCCTCTCTACTTCGATCTTATCTATTCCCTTTATAATTTTATCTTTCTATAAGATCCCCCTCAATCTTCTGAATTCCAATGAATATAATCCTGATCTACTCAGTCTCTCCTCATAAGCCAACCCCATCAACTCTGGAATCAACCTAGTGAACATCCTTTGTACACCCTCCAGTGCCAGTACATCCTTTCATAAGGAGACCAAAACTGTGCACAGTACTCCAGGTGTGGCCTCACTAGCACCTTGTACAGCTGCAACATAACCTCTGCTTTTATTTCAATCCATTTGCCTTCCTAATTACTTGTACCTGCAGACCTACCTTCTGTGATCATCAAAGGAGTCTTCAAGCTGGGAAGTTTCATAACTGAGACTGTCCCAGATATCAGTACAGCTCAACTCCAGAGCAGGTCCTATGGTATTTGTCATAACCATTTTTCACTGTTGCAAGTCAGGTTCCAAATTAAAGTGCTGCTAGCATTTTAAGGCTGGCTGTGCTTTATTGCATATCCCCTGCAACTGGTACTGATATGTTCCCTAATTCTCTTCTCCATCAATCCTCATTGAGATGGGGAAGAAGTCAGTGACCACAATCTCCTAGATAACTATTGCCCAAGTTTAAACTGGATCAGACTGAATATCCAAATCCAGGTATGGTGTCCGATGTGACTGCCAACATTTCTGTAAACCAAGTTGAGACTTGGACTACAGATCCAGTAATAACATGCACTTGATCACTCCACTACTCTGTACCTGGCAAGCAACAAATGCTGGCCCGGCAAGCAACACTCCCACATGCAAACAACTGCAACCACTTGTTTCCACAATCCTGTGACCCAGGTTTCATGGCTGGCACCCTCATTTGCCACCAGGGTAATGGCAACAGGCACAAGTTGTCTGTTGCTCAAATTAAACTTGAACATGTCTGTTCTGCCACTTTAGTGGGTTATATTGTGGCAGCTCATAATGGTCTCTCTAGCATTCTTGAACAATAGCTAGGTTCAAGGGGCAACCTGCACACTTCTACAATCCAACTGGCTTTCCTAAATGTATGACAGTAAATATCATCTGTAATATTCTCATCTGGCTTGTGAATATACCATGAGTTCTCTCTTCAGCTCCACAAACTTGTAGACCAGATAACTTCAGATGTGGTGATGGAAGCTGCATCCATGGAAGCAGGCAGTGTAATGGATTCAGAGACTGCCACGATGGCACTGATGAGATTAACTGCAGGAATGGTAAGAGATTGAAGTGTTGCATGCACCAACTTCAATTTGAGCAGTATTGACAATTCTCATTCTCTCCAGTTTCAGAGTGTACTGGTCCAACTAACTTCAAGTGCCACAGTGGAGAATGCATTGATATGACTTTAGTGTGTAATCAGCAGCAGGATTGCCAGGACTGGAGTGATGAGCCCCTCAAAGAATGTAGTAAGTGCTACTTGACTAGAACTGGTTATTCCTAGTTCAGAACTGGTCTAACTTAAACCACATACAATCCACTAGAGTAATCCAACCTTGCCATAGTATCTCATGAAGCAAATTCTTTCTATAAAGCCTTACCTGACTATATACCCAATAACCTTGACCTAAAGAACAATGCAGCACAAGAACTGGTCCTCCAAGCCTGCACTGGCACTTTTTTGTCCTTCATTCTAAAACTCATCACTTGCAGGATCTGTATCCCCACTTCCTTGTTAATTGTGTTCATCCAGTGTTTCTCAAATATTGCTACTGTCTGCTTCAACAATATCTGGCAATGCATTGCAGGCACTACACAACCTTTTGTGGAAAATCCTCAACTTTAAACTACCCCCTTGCACCTTGAACCTGTTTCTCCCTGTATCTCTAAGGGAGAAAAAGCCTCATACTTACCATCCATGCCATTTGCAAGCCTAGACTTCTGCTAGGCCATTCCTCAACCTGCCTTCCAATGAAAACAAAACCTTTGTTCATAGCTGAAATGTAAGGTTTTACTTGTGTAAACTAACAGGCCAAAGTCTGCCAGGCTGTCCTTGTTACAGCTTTAGTATTCAACATTGAATCAACAATATCAAACCAGGAGTTGTTTTTTAACTTGTAAACAAACTTCATTTGGTACATAGCTGGCTAATGTGCCTAAAATACACTTAACCATGCAGTAGGTATCAAACTTATAATTGGAATGGTGTTCTTGAATCTGCTGCAATAGTGAAATATGACTAATCTAATTTAAGGTACTTGAGTGAATAAATACAAATCATTAATGGCAATTTTCAACTGGATTTTCAATCTTGTCTAAACAGTAAGCTAATAGTTGTTACTCTACCTCCAGATTTGAATGAATGTCTAGCTAACAATGGAGGATGCTCCCATGTCTGCAGAGACCTTGTCATTGGTTATGAATGTGATTGTCCTGCTGGCTTTGAGCTGGTTGACAGAAAAACATGTGGAGGTAAAGACAAACTTGCAAGTTGCTTTTTCTTAGTCTTGTATCTTTCCATAATCTAAATTGTTGCTAACTTCATCTACAGATGTTGATGAATGCCAAAACCCTAGTGTGTGCAGCCAAATTTGTGTGAATTTGAAAGGAGGCTATAAATGTGAGTGCTATGAAGGATATCAAATGGATGCTGCCAATGGAGTTTGTAAAGCAGTAGGTAAGACTCTTTAAACAAGTGTCTTCTGGCATGCAAATTTTCAGCCCTATACTATAAATCTTAGCAAGGTCAAACTTAGAATTTGCCAGCTATTCACTTCATGTTTGAATCTTGATTTGCCATTGCTCATGTTAAAGTCAAATGAATCCCATTCTTAAGAATTTGGTCAACCAGTTTTGCTCACCCTAGAGCCAATTTCTTTCCTAGGCCTAACTAATTCTTAAGTGCAAAAACACAACTACCTATATTCTCATCTGTGGCTCTGCTGCATTGAGCAATCTTCTGCAGGAATGGTAGGTTACCAAAATGAGTTCTGACTCAAAGATTGACTGACTTTATTTCTTTGCAGGCAAAGAACCTTATTTAATGTTTACTAATCGGCGTGACATCCGGAAAATAGGACTAGAGCACAAGGAATACACTGAGGTGGTTGAGCAACTAAGAAACACAGTAGCACTGGATGCTGATGTTGCAGAGCAAAGACTCTTCTGGGCTGACTTGGGAGAACGGGCAATTTTCAGGTAACTAGTGAAGTCATCAACTGATGATCACTAACCTGCCCATATCAGGGGGAAAACCCCTGAATTTGACTCTAATGCCACGTACCAAGTGGTTTTTGGCCTTGATGCATGGCACAAATGCTTCCTGAGACTTCCTTCTCAATCTTTAGACATGCACTCCAGTTCCATACCTGAGCTTGCTGTGTGGACCTCTTAACAGTCTGGTTCTCCACCAGTTTGTGATAAGAAATTTTTTGTAAATTCTACAACCCTTGAGCCTGCTCACCACAATTCTACCAACACTTTTTTTTTGGTCCAGACTTGGTTATGAGTTGAATGTAGTCTTGTAATGCCCACTTTCTAGGGCAATGAACTGAACTCTTCTGAAATGGAAACTTCTCCAGCTGTTTCAATGGCACAACATCTTTTCTAGGCAAAGTCTGCACTACTTGACACTGTCTAGCATACAACTTGTTAATAGCTCCATATTAATACATTTAGCAAAAGCCTTGAACTACAACTTCATACTAATTTGTTCTTAAACAGCACTTCTCTGGACCAACGGAGTTCAGAAGGCCACTCCAGAGTTGTTGGTGATCTCAGAGTCCCTGTGGGAATTGCTGTAGACTGGATTTACAAGAACATCTATTGGACTGATCTAGGCTATAAGAGTCTCTCTGTGACTACCTTTGATGGAACCAAAAAGAAGACCCTCTTTGACACTGATCTAAGGGAGCCAGCTTCTATAGCTGTTGATCCACTAAATGGGTAATTAAAACTTTCAATTAACTCCAAATACAGACCAAACAAGGGTATGCTTTCACATCAAAGCTATTGACAATTTCTAGTAAATGTTGGCTATGTAAAATGAAGTTTCTAACTCCATCTACAGATTTGTTTACTGGTCAGACTGGGGTGAACCAGCAAAGATAGAAAAAGCAGGAATGAATGGTGTTGATCGACAGCTTTTGGTTACCAGAGACATTCAATGGCCTAATGGAATTGCACTTGGTAAGCAAAGCTTTTGCTCACATGCTCTTGCGCTCTCCCTGAAAAGAATCCTTTATCTAATGCCTGTCTTTGTCCACAGATCTTGTGAAAAGCCGGCTGTATTGGGTTGACTCCAAAATGCATACACTGTCCAGTGTGACCCTAAGTGGACAAGATAGAAGAAGAGTGCTGTTGTCACATGACTTCCTTGCTCATCCTTTTGCAGTTACTGTATTTGAAGTAAGGATGTGCTTTGCTTGCTATTAAAAACACTTGGTACTACTTTGGCAGACTGAGTAATAGAGCACTAGCATAATGGCAAACTTTCCAAACTAAAAGCTTATTGGTGATAGCTGCATCTCTTGTAATTTGGCCAATTCATTTGATGAATTGTATCTTTAAAATGGCTAAGATCCCTCAACTCACTACAATAATTCCCTTAGGACCGTGTCTTCTGGACTGACGGGGAAAACGAAGCTATCTATGGTGCTAACAAGTTCACAGGACAAGATGTGGTGCTCTTTGCTTTCAATCTTAATGAACCTCAAGATATCATAGTTTATCATCAACTTGTGCAACCATCAGGTATGAGCTTTGGATAATCTAACTTCTTGCCTTCAACTAGAATATCTACAGATGCAGCAGAATATTAAAGGAATTTGCCCAATGCTTGGTATTGCATGAGACCTTCTTCCATAAGGAAGATGCAGTGAGTTGCCATAATGAGCTGTTAAGTTGCATTAGAATAAGCAAAGGAGTACTCCATGGTACACTCTAGCTTGGCAAGTTGAAATGAGCAGTGTTCCAGATATAAACTTTGCAATTCATTTATATAATAACTTTCTCCTTTAACAGGGAAGAACTGGTGTAATGGGAAAGTAAGGAATGGAGGATGTGAACACATGTGCCTGCCAGCTCCTCAAATTAACAGCCATTCCCCAAAGTACACCTGTGTATGTCCCTCTGGCATGGAGCTAGCACAAGATGGTCTACAATGCAGAATGGGTATGCAGGAGTTTAACACTTCCCCTTTTTGTCTCAAACTTTCCACAAACCTGACTTCCTCCTGTAGAAGAAAATATTGTAAGAATGTGAATCTTGCTGGCAAAGCAACATTGGCCTAGCTACCATGACTTGGGTGCACCTAGAGCTCTCAACAGTCCAGAATATGGCATGGTGGGAGCATGGAGGCCATAGCAGCATGTTTGCTCCTCCAGTTGATAAAGCCATGAGTTTTTAGATGTTGCAGTTGAATAGACTTGGATTCTCAAGTGGCCATTCTGAATCCAAAAAGCACTTGGATCAAAGCACTTTTTTATGTAGTCTGAATTCACTGTAGCCTTTCTGACTAGGGAGCAATCACTTGAAATGGTTTCACTAGAATGGTACACAGGAAGAGGTCACAATGTCATATGGTTGACCTTACTTCCTAGCACTCAAACATGTGCTAAGGATAACTTGTTAGTGAGCACCACAATTGTTATGGCTGCATGCTAGTCACCAGACAGTTGCAGTTTGCCTTGTTGAGATTCTCCCTTATTAAAATGAGATGAGCAGGGTAGTCCTTATGGCAGAGCATTAACCAAACAGCTTGGGTATTGCTTCCCTTTGAACAGGGCTTCCAGTTCCTCCAGAGCAAAGATAGTTGCCATCTGTTCCTTGTGTCATAGCTGACAATCTTCCACTTTACAATCTGTCCTATCCTTCACTGGATTAAGGAACATGACTTTATTCTCAGGGTTCAGCCCTAACAGAATCCAACTACGGTGCATAGCATGTTTGCAGTGCATGACCCTACCAAACCCTCCGCTTGGACCTCAACAGACCACTCTTCACACTAGTGGGTTTCTAACAAAGTCTCACCACACCATCAAACCATGTGGTAGAATAAGAGTTTGATGTGGGTTGATTAGTTCATATGGTAGTTCCAACATTTAGACTAGCTTAGATAAAACATCTCCATGCCAAGGAGACCAAATCTGCATTCAGATGATGGGCCATGATCAACTAAGCAATTCTGCTAGATCTAGTCTGAATTAAGCACTAAAGATCTGATTCCCATTCACTACAGGTAGCTTTACATCAGTCAGCAAAAGATGCTAGTTATGCCTAATGGCTTCAGGAATCTTAGATGGGTTAGCTTTCCAGCAACATGGAACAAATTTCCAGTAAAACACAATCTGGTAGCTTGTGGAGGAAATGGTCTCCTTATTGGAAAATACTGCCTTTCTTAGCACTAGCAATACCCAGGCTCAAAACACAAGCTGTTAAGGTGGCTTCATTTTTTCCTGATTAATCCAAATGACTGACCCAGACGCCAGAGCCAAGACTTGACCTCTGGTGTAAAAGGATATGCAAGAGATGCTACAATCTAGATGCAGCAGTTGTCCAACCATGACTAGAATGTCCTCTTGCAAAACTAAGCCAGATAGGATTAAATTTTTAATCAGTTTGTCTTTATCATAAGACTAGAATTGTTAAGGGGGTTATTTTTCCTAGATTTGAAATTTTTCTTTGAGCACTTGTCCATTATCACTACAAACTGCCTTTTTATCCAGTTATACCACTTCCTGCAGGCTTAATCTTAAAGCTGTTCACAGATGGAAATATCTTGACTGAAATAGTGTCACTTGAGCAAAATGCTGGTCCAGAAAAAGGACAATACAATCCTGTGTTCCACTGGATTTTTGTCTACTTTATAGAAGTGGGTTAACAATTGGTATTTATAATGGAAGTCTCCATGAAAAGTTGCTAACATCACTTGGGAACTGCAATCAACTAGTATGAATTGAACTTTTTGACTTTTTCCCTTCTAAGGAACTACAAGTACTGGACGTGCTCACATTCTACCTTCTGCTTCCCACATAATGTCAACTGTACTACCAGGCTCTAGAGGTAACATTTGTGTAATGGCACACTCTAAACAATGTGTTTCTCTCCTTTGGACATCAGAAATTGCAAAAGCTGGTTCCAAATCCCTGGGCTGCAAAGTGTCTAATCTGGCCAGTCCCATGTGGCAAGAGGAGACAACATTGACTGCCCTTTAGCTCCTTTCCATCATTGGAAGGGCTTTCATTCTAAAGGTGGTGAGCAACAAACATCCAATGGAATTTAAGTAGCACTAACCTACAACTGGGAGAAAGTCAGGATCTAAACTAGCCAGGGTTATTGGGATAAAAGGGTTAGAATAAGACTTCTGCTTGGACTTGGTTTCCTGACTTTTTTCTTACTGATTTGCACTAAGTCTACAATATTAGGTCACCTTCTCTATGCTGCAATGTCCTGTTTAACTCTAGTGCTGGGCCATGCAAGTACAAACTTGCAGAAGGAGCAGGTAGCTAGCACTTCTGCATGCTATTCAAAGTAACAATATTGAACTGAGGCATTGGAGTCAATCTTGACTCTGGACTGAATGGGGGAAAGCATAAGGTGCTGAACTGACCCAAAGTTCACATCTGAAGTAATTCTGAATTGCATAAGCTTCCTTCATTTTCACTCAAACAATTTTCCCATGAACACATTGCTTCAGATGACTGTCTACTATTGCAGATACAAATTTGAGTATCCCACTTGAAGTGAGCCAGTTTGGGAAAGGATCAACAGCTGTCTGGATTATTATTCCTGTTTGTAAGTAAAAATCACTTTGGAAACTTTTCTGCCTTGCAAGATTGCAAGACTTGCATGTTAACTAGCTGAATGTAGTCTCCATCTAATATACTTTATTCCTCAACAGCATAGTTTCTTTTCTGACTTACTATACCACTTGGCTTTGCATTACTTTCTCTTTCCATCAAGCTGTTTGGTCAAAGTGACAATTTAACACTAGTCTGGCATAATTTCAGCTACTCTATAGCACTTTTGGGAACAGTTTTTTATAGTTCAGAATGTACTCACTTGTGCCAACTTTCTTTCAGTGCTTGCTACAATAGCTTGTGTAGCTGGTTATATCGCATGGCGCAACTGGCAGAACAAGAATACAAAAAGCATGAATTTTGATAATCCTGTCTACTTAAAAACTACAGAGGATGACTTGAACATTGATCTCAACAGGCAAAGTCAAGCAGTTGGCCATACCTACCCTGCAGTAAGTAATATGGCTTTTGAGTGAACTCTTCTTTACTGCTACTTCAACTGAAACCAAATTGAGATTTTGATAGCTACTTGCCCAGTCTGGATGAATTCAAGAACCTAGATTTCAAATTTTTTTAATCTTCTAACTAAATCATAACAAATTGGCAAGTGCCAGAGATCATTCTGGAAGAACAGTTTCTCAGCAAATTAGATTTTTGTTGCTTGCAACAACTTTGGGGAAGAGAAGGCAAGTTAATTTTAAACTTGTGGTGTTAACCAGGTTAACATTTGCCCTTGGGTTGTAGCTTGCTAGTCCAGCTTTCCTAGAAGCAGACTTTAATTCCTCAACTGGTTATAGCTTGCGAGTCCAGTTGGCTGCAATGTGGCTTTTGTTAAAACCATGTTAACATGGTTCTTGTAAAATTAAAACAAGATTTTGTTCAGAAAAGGACAAACGTATGTAACAAGCAAAACCAATAAGCCCATTTTGGGCAGCACACTGGCTCAGTGGTTAGCACTGCTGCCTCAAGCTCCAGGGACCTAAGTTCAATCTTTCAGCCCCAGGTGACTGTCTGTGTAGAGTTTGCACATTCTCTCTGCTGTGTGCATGGACACCCACACAGACTTAAAGAGCAGGGTAGATGGATTGGCAAAACTAAATTGCCCCTAGTGCCCAAGAATGTCTGGGTTTGACATGGGAAATCAGGAATGGGTTTGGGTGGGATGCTCTAGAGGGGTCGAGTGGACTTGGACTGAATGGCCTGTTTCCACACTGCAGGGATTATGATCTAAGTAAAATTGTTTTTGCCATGCATGGGCTTGAACACCATGCATTTCCCAGGATCAGTCTCATTCATACTAAGTTAGTCTCCACTATATCTTCTAGACAGTAATTTTTAAGCTTGGTGTATTAAACTGATTGCTGTCTTCACTCTCTACTACTTAGATTTCCATTGTCAACACTGAAGATGATTCAGCGTGATTGCTTGAGGGACTTTTACCAACTAGTTTGATATGCAGCTCAGTGACACTATACATCACCTAGATGACAGCATGTAATATGGTTTTGAACAATTTTCTACATGTAACTTATTTAAGACTAAAGTCACTGTTATTCCTTAATCTTGCAGTATTAACTTTTCAAGCACTTTTCACATGACACCTTTTTATGGTGAAATGCAGATTGGTATCTAAAGATACTGTTAATTGTATAAACTTGTAAATAAGTCTTGAGCATTTTGAGTACAGATTTTTTGCAATGACTGGGGTAAAGGGACAACTGCTGTGTTTGTAAGATTTTTATATGCCAAATATGCATTTGTCTAAATTAATCTTGCCATGTTTCCAATACTGCTAATGAAATAAAGTTCATAATTGCATTTGAATATAGCTGTCTCTTTCCACCAGAAACTATAAACTGTAGGCTAGCCCAACTCATCTGCTTTCACACTTGAGGATATGATATGGTGGATGAAAGCCCATCAAACAAATTAGGTTTTACCAGTCAAAACCTTTTTTGAGGTCACTGCACATGTTTCTCCAACCTCTGCCAAATAGCATGGTCATACTTAGCTCAACAGGCAATAACTAGTCCTTGCCAGGACTGAGCCTCTTTCATTTTCAACATCAACAGGTAATATTACAGACCAAGCAGGTGCTGGAGATCTGACAGTGAAATTCTCATCCACAGGTCTTAGATGCTAACAGACTAGGAAAGCTAACACTAGAATGTCAGCATAACTAGCAATGTGATGTTCTCTAACAGATGGCCATTAAGCAGGCATAAGACTTCCACAAAGGCAACAGGAAGCTTGCTTGAATGGTAGCAAGGCTTGGAGTTCAAGGATAGTGTCCAAGATGATAAAGACAGCTGCATGAGACTACTGACCAACTTGATGGGATTTTGAAAACTGAGTTGAATTTCCTATGACATGTTATCCTAATGTGGTGAGCAACTACTTTTAAGCTCTAGTCCCTCAACCAAAGATTTGGGTATAATATCGAAGCTAACTTTCATACTAATGGGCACTTGCCATTATCATGGCAATTTTACCCTCCTCACTCTCTACCATTTTAATGAGTTGGCATCTTAAAGTACTTGGTCCCTGATTTTGACTTTACAGAAATAGGCAAGTTTTTGCCTTAGTGCAAATACAGCATGTATGTCAGGGTGGTGATCTGGAATTTGATTTGGGGAGATATACCACCCCCTGTGTAATGGCTTGGAAAGTTCTGCTTTAGCCTTGCATATCTGCATGATGACCACTTGTGGATCTAATGCACCACTCAAGGCTGCTAATCCAACAAGCTGCTTTGCTGTATGTAGGTTTTTCTTTCCCCCAGCTGTGCACTCCCAAGGAAAGGAGTATTCCACTATCCGCATACTCCTGACTCTGGGCAGTCAGGTGAGTAGCTTAGTCTTTGGCCTCTGGCCTGCTTTCAGCCAGTTTGTTTTCATTATGGCTTTTTCTGGGCAATAAAGGAGTCTTTTTGCTGCAATTGTCCTGGCTTGAGCTATGAGCATATCTAAGTGATCACCCCAATGTGATCAAGTTGCACTGACCAGGAAGCACCCCTCCATTCCAAAAAATTTGCTTGTCTTTATCTGCAGCAATCAATGGTTGCAGTTTCTAGGGCAGCATGAACTAATTGCTAGTGATCAAGAATGGATGCAAATAGAACAAGTAAAAGCAGTTTTAGCTTCAAATATTTGGATTTAGCTCCCACAGCAGCTCCTGTTACATTGCAGGGGGAAGATTCTGTGGGATTGCCTGGTTGTTGTACTGATGGTAGGTTTTTGCTATGGCAGGCCATCAGCCTGCTTGGCTAGAAGAAAAACTTGGCTCCACTTAAGTTTGCCACAGAGCAGCTTCTCTACAAAAGAGTACAGCTGGCAGTAACAATGCAGCCTCACACTTTGTATTACATTTAAACCTCACTTTTTTATCTCCCATCTGGTGATCCCATAACCATGGGATCTGACAATGGTGTTCTTTCTAGCCAGCACATACCAAGGATGGCTTATGTAGAAATGTTCCTGAGGGATCAGCCACTTCCACTTGCCCAAAATAAACTTCCTGAAACACATGACTCCTTGGTTATGTTGCAGGCACAGTTGGCAAATGAAATGGATTGGACACAAGGAAAGAATACAAACATTCTGCCATGGTTCAAATCATCCATGAAGAAAATTGTATTCTGAAAGTGACCTGATCAAAAAAAACTCTGCTCTTGCTTTGAAAGCAGGGGCAGATCTCAAGGATGAGGTAGTTGTAGTGGTGGGTTTTTGGGAAGGAAATGTAATTTAGGATTTTACTGCTGGAATCAGTTAAGATGCTCATTGACACTGGACTTAAATGGTTTGCCAAAATGGAAATGAGAGAACCAAGGTGGTAGAATTCCAGAGAAGGATATTGAAGGACATGATGGCCATGAAATGCTTGGTGTGAAGAAGAATGGGAGAGGTACTAGTATTAGAACAGAAACATGCCAAAACTGATGGTAGAGGTTAACATGCTTTCATTCTGATTTGTAAAATTTGGAGGAAGAGGATTCTGCAAAACATGGTGTTTTGAGTAAAACAAAACTCTACTGAAAATAAGGTGCTGGAGACACTCACCGGCTCTGGTGGCATCTACAAAGAGTTGGCTGGAGTCCAAAACTAGAAGACACAGGTGAGGGGAAAGATTTTAAAAGGGACCTAAGGGACAACTTCATGCAGTGGGTGGTGTGTATATGGAAGGAGTTGCCAGAGGAAGTGGAGGCTGATAGTTACACTATTTAAAAGTCATCTGGATGGATACAATAATTGGGAAGGGGTTTAGAGGGATTTGGGCCAAATGTTGGCAAATAGGACTAGATCAGTGGTCGACATTGGATGAGTCAGACTGAGGAGCCTGGAAACAGACCTTATGAAACTAAGTCCAGTGACCCTTCTGCTACTGATCTGGAAATTTGATTTGGAAACTTTGACTTATAGGATATAACTTTTCAAGATTCTTCAAAATAGGATGAAGGTATAAAGAATGAAGCTGATATGTTTAGCCTAGATTCATTAGTAGAAATACAATAGATTTGGAATTGAAACAGTTAAACCAAACATACTATTCATTAATCAGGAACAATGCCTGAGTGTTTTCACTTGATAAAATAAAGTACTAATGATGAATGGGCTGTGATCCATCAGCTGGTAGCTTCAGCTGACTATTGGAATAGAAGTTTTACAAGTTGATAAACCAAATGACACTTCCAATTTTTCTCTCAAATTTCCAAGAAAAACTAACTGCTGTTTGTGAGTTGGCTTTAAAACCATTTCCAATAACATGAAGACTGCTCAATTTGAAAAATGAAAGCAGGAGCAGATTAAAAACTCATGTAAATTCTATAATGAGTATTTCAAACAGGAGGAAGGATCAGAGCCTGTTATGTTAACACTGGAGAGATACTATGATGGTCAATCGCAATGAGAAAAGTGTACTTTACAGCTGTGAAGTAAATAGAAAGTGAAATAGAAATATCAGAACAATTACAGACTGAATCATAAAAGCAAATATTAAATGTTAGCTATCCAACAACGAGCCTGGAAAATGCAAAGGTACCTGAAAGGTTAGATTAGAAAATGATCAGAGATTTTCAAAGGCTATGACAGAATTACAAACCAATTGTGGGAATAACTGATTGATGTTGCGGTTCATATATTAATTGTAAAACAATATCCCATACATCTTCAATCCAGAGACATTAGCTCAGGTGAGGGAAAGGATTAAGTTCATGATGGACAATGACATTGTTTAGCTGAGTCACAGCTCACCTTTCATGATGGTGCAAAGACTAAATGGATCACAAAGATTCTGAATTAACCATGGCAAAGTTAATGTAGTAACGAAAACAGATTCATCCTCACCAAGACTGGGTGATTGCGTTGAATTAATTGGACATACAATTTAGTACAAAAAGAACAGTGGAAAGGTTTGCTAATAAAGAGCACAAGTGTCAGCTTTTGTGACACCAGATGAACTTTGCATTGATAAAGTCACACCATTTTACATGAAAGATGCACCAGTAATGTTTCAGTGATTAGCCAACAGACTAACTGACAGACTGTGTAATTGCATTGTTTGCGTCAATCATTTGGGTCTTTTTAGCCAAACCTAGGAAGAGCATTTATATTTGCGTGAACTTTAAGATCAACTTCAAAAAGTGAATTTGATCATACATTTGTCTGAGAGCAAATTTGCCAAGGCAATAGTGAATTATTTGGCCCACACTGTGATACAAGACCAAGTACAACCAGAGAATCAAAAATATGGGTTATTTTAGATTTTTCCATGCCTAGGACAAAACATTGCCTACATTGCTCAGTCCTTTGAGTATAGGAGTTGGAACGTCATGTTGAGGTTGTGCAGGACATTGGTGAGGACTTTTCTGGAGTACTGTGTCCCATTCTGGGCACCCAGTTAAAGGAAGGATATTATCAAGCTGGAGAGGGTTCGGAAGAGATTTACCAGGATATTGCCAGGTACGGAAGGTTTGAATTATAAAGAAGGGCTGAACAGGCTGGGACTTTTTTCACTGAAGTGTAGCAGGTTGAGAGGCAACCTGATAAAAGTTTATAAAATAGTGAAAGGTATAGATAGAGTTGATGGTAGTTGTCTTTTCCCTAGGATGGGGGATCTCAAAACTAGGGGACACATTTTTAATGTGAGAGGAGAGAGATTTAAAAACAAAAGGCATGAGGCAATTTTTTTGCACAGAGGGTGGTTTGCATGTGGAATGAGCTTCCTGAGGAAGTGGTGGATGTTGGTACAATGACAACATTTAATAGTCATTTAGATAAAAGTACATGCATAGGAAAGATTTGGAGGGATATGGGCCAGGAGCAGATAGGTGGGACTAGTTTAGTTTGGAATTATTTTTGGCATGGAGTAGTTGGACTGAAGGGTCAGTTTCCATACTGTATGACACTATGAAATTTTATGTTATGTTGGTATGAGTGGAATTTATTGCAAGTTTGCTCTGAATTTGAGCACTGTCATTGCTCCTTTAACAAACTTGAAAAAATGCTGAAAATAATGGATACAAGGGTGTCAGTGTCTCTGAAGATGTAAAAATTCTGCTGACAGTTGTACCATTTTAGTCATACCCAGTTATAAAAAGCTATTCAAACTAACTGTTCATGCCAGCAACATTGGTGTGGCGCTCGTTTGCTGCAAGATAATAAGATGAGAATTGAAGCTCTGTCAGTTATTTTTCAATGAAACTGACAACATGTCAACAATAATATTCAATGCTGATGAAGAAATATTGAGTCTTGTGATGGCTCTACATTACAGAGAAACAGACATCAGTAACATAGAAGAAATTGCTACTTATACACACCACAATC